GGCACTGGTATGTTTAAATTTTGTACGAATTATAAGACTAAACGCCGATCGACGTCACTACAACAATGCGATATTTAAACAATTGTTAACAGATCAACAATGAAATTAAATCATTGTTGAACTCGTGCTGGTCGAATCGTTCTTCAAAGTTTCCATTAATTAAAAACATTCAATTCTATGTTTTTCGAAAAGTTTACAATAAAAAATAAGAAGAAATAAAGAAAGAAAACGAAAACCCACAATAAAATTGATGAATTCGAAAAATTCGAATGAAAACAAATTTCCGAGAATTTCCAAAAGGACGAGAGAAAAATGTGAACGAAGTTGCTACAAAATTCACAAATTCCAGAAAGATCAGAATACAATTAGTAATGTGCTTCATTTTATTTTACTTTATAGTTTAAATAGAGTACTATCGCTACGGGTTTCGGGGCTTTAATATCGACCCTCGTTGCGCTGAATGGGGCGATGTTCCGACGGGAGTCGGCACGCTATATCGTCTCTTGCTGCGACTGAAAATGAATGTATGATTAATTAAGGTAGCTTTTTTACAGTGAATAAATAAAACTGGTCGTACGAATGCTTAGAATTATCAAGACATGTTTCGAGCTTTTTATTTGCAATTGTATAACAGAGGAAAACTTTGCTTATCAGCATGAGATTTTTATAGAAGATTTTCTCTATAATTTTTACCAGCACGAGGATGATAATAATCGGACAGTAATATTTTTTTTGTCGTTTTTAAATTTTTTATTCTTATGTATCGGTATAACCATATTATAATTTAATTTATTAGGAAATGTTTCTCTTTCGAAGGACTAGTTTATAAGACAAGATGAAGGTGTGGCGATGATATCTGCAATTTCTTTGATTATGTCCATATTTGAATTATCTGTCAGGAGTACGAGTTTTTAAGTTTATTACAGTGTAATAGATTTCATTTGCAGTTGTTTCTCCCAGCACTAAAGAATGTACTATTCTCTTAGACGAATTTAGCTTTAAAGATTGATTCACGCACAGTTAAGATGTTTTGCAAAAGTTTCGGTTATAATTTCCTGGTTTTTTGTAGATTTGCGTTAACCATCAATAATTTTATTTTAATCTCATCCTTTTATTTAGTTATATTATAAGGCAATGTTTTAATATTTTTCCAAAAATCTACCGGAAGGTTGGTATTACTAAAAGACTGTCATAATGGCTTGATTCTTCTTTATGAATTTCGATTCTTGTTTGTTTAAACAAATTTTTATTCCTAAATCTATGTTAAATCGTTGTTCTTAAAGTAATTTCTTTTTTAATTCTTAAAATAAGAATTTATTCGTTTAACTTTCTGGAGAATTTTATCGGTTATGATTTTCTTTAAGAAAGTTTTCTTTTTAAATGTAGTATTTATTTCAAGATGTTCTTCTAGAAGTAAATAGTAAATAGTCAGTAAATATTAATAGCATAGACACCAGATAATCTGCAAGTTCATTCACTGAAAGGTCACTTGTATAATAATAATTGCAAGAGAAGCAGGAAGAAAGAGCACTCCGTTATAGTTCGATTGATGAGTTAGTTATTTAGCGTCGTTTAATGGTTATTTTTTCTCCTCTCGCTATATCTTTATCGGGAATAGAGACGAGTAAAGGAAGGTGGTTAATATTTGTTGTTTTCTATTACAATACCCTCAGATAATTCTGGGAAGTAGAGATTCTAAATAATAAACTAAAAAATATCAAACTTTATTCGTTCCTAATTGTTGCGCATTTTAAGTTTACGGTAAATTTAGAAAATAAACATATTCTCTCAATATATTTTATTTCGTTATTTCAATAGCATGAAGGTGAAGATTCTACTGCAGTATTCTCCGAGTTGGAGCGTGCCGAATATTTGCCGAAGTACCAGATTTGTTTATTATTCTGCAGTTATACGTTTAATAACATTATAAGACATAAGTCTTTTTGCCAATGCTAATTGCTTTTTTTCGTCTCCATAAGTTGTTTTTCGAAAAAAAGTCCTGTATTTTTGAGGAAGATGCAGCAATATTTAAATGCCTTTTATGTTTCTGTGTCTCCAAATGCTTTGAAATATCATTCTTCCCGCCGTGCGAAATAGAAAATTCACATTTACATTTCTCACAGTTTACGATGTGATCGCTTTTGTGTTTTCTTAATAAACGGAAATTCACTTCTTTGATCATCGTTGAACTTGCATTCTCTTTTCTTGCTCATTATCTTAAAAAAAAACTAAAAAATAATATAATTTAAAATTATATTATATTGTAATTTTTCTTCTGTCATATCTTGTCGGAGTCCCAGCAAACAATGCTCGTTGCAGCGTTGCCACAATGAAATTTCAAAACCTACTGAAGCTCCTTGAAAAAATGTTCTATTTTCTTTCAAAATGTACTATTTCTATGGTTGGTTAATTTTAATATTAATATACCATCATACTCAATTTTTGTGCTTATTTCAAATTCATATTCATGAATACTTTGTTAAATATTTAATAAAAGGATTTTATGAAAATAGTTTCTATGGTTTTTTGTTAAANAATCCAAGTTCTTCAGGGTAATCATTAACCCTCTCTCTCGTGGGAGGAATTTTAAAAAATCTCTTCTTAATGTGCATTCTCGTGGCATACTCGACTAAAACGCAGTTAAAAACGCAAAAATATTGCATTTATTGTTATTTTAATATTGTTACGCAAAAAACTAAATTTATTGTTAATTTAAATAATAGCTAGGGGCGCCCCTAGTGGCAATTCTAGGCATACCGTTACAGATATAGGCTGCCACTGACGTCATAACGAACATCCATCATTATCCAATTTAAATAAAATTTTACTGTTTACCGAAATAATTTAAAAAAAAGAATTACCCGATTTATTTTAACTTACTTGCGTATATTAAATGAATTTATATCGAACGTATTAAATAATATAATTTACATATAAAAAACTAAATAACGTACAAAATTTAATCGTTTAAACCAGTGATTCTCAACCTCTAACGAATCGTCGCCCCCTTCAACGTAGTATTGCCCCCTTCAATAAAACCATTACGTAGTATCGCCCCCTTTACTTTAAAATTCCGATGTCGAGGGCCAAGGCTAAGGCCAAATTCGTACTGCATCGAATAGACTAGTGACTATTATAATGTTATTTGTTTAATTATTGTACGATATAACGAATAAAATATCTCATTATTCTTAATATAATGTTTTACTATATCGCCCAGAAAATTGTTTGTCGCCCCCCAAAATATAAATTGTTACTAATCGCCCACTCAACATGGAAAAACGCCCACATGGGGGCGATATCGCCCCCGTTGAGAAACACTGGTTTAAACGAACGAATTAAAGAAGAATTTAAAAAGAGAAATAAAATTTGACATATTAGATTTATCAAAAATTTTAAAAGTTTTAAAAAATACTTAATAACGAATTAAAAACATTATATAGGCGACATAAAATTAAGTGCGGTCCTGTCTTTTCGTAGATGGATTTCCGAAGCGAAGGGTAGTAGGGGGTAGATGATAGTCCAGAAAATCGTTATTTATATGCGCACGTTTATTTTTAATGCGAATTTTTATAGAAATAAGTTAAAAGAACTGTTCTAGACGAAGCGGCTTTAATTACTTATTCGTATTTTCTATAAATTGAAAAAATTTATTTTTCCGGTTTGTAGCTTTAATCTTTGTTTATTTAAAATAAATTTCACTTTCTCTTCGTAAATATTTATAAATAACGCTATAAATACACATTTAAAGTGCTTTTTTCCTTCGTCCACGTGCATTGATATTTATATTGAATAATTGAAGCCAGTAATTGCAAATTTAATTATATTTATAGTGTGCACACAGCAAATATATATAAGTAAATAATATTATTTATCGTTTAAATATTAATTGCATAGTATAATATAGTAGAACTCTTAAGTTCTTACTATAATATCCTTCGAGTTTACGGCAAATGTGAATTTTTGGGACCGGATCCTGCGTTGAATTTTTATTGTGTCGGTACCAGAGCTTGGGTCGCTTTTTGGCATTGTCCGGGCTCGAGGACGAGAACTCGGCCGACGTCGGAACTTAAAAATCGAAGCGTTGTTGATGCCGAGCAGTCCGTTGCTACTTATTTGAGATTGCCAACTAATGCAAATCGGAGAATGCTTATGTGACTTTATGCCTGTTCGTGGTCGTGCGGATAAAACCGTCAAACACTGGTAGTCGATCGTGGGTTTGAGCCTCACTGGTTGGTCAGGCTGGCCACTGAGAGTTTTCCGGGTTTTCGTCGGGTTTGTAACACCTAAATAGGAGCCGGTTTCCCATAAAACACCTCTCAGGAAGCATTCTCCCGTTGGCAGATTGCCCGTGTATCGCGTTCCGATAAATGAATAAAACCAAGCCTTCTGGTATAGCTTTCAGTGTATCCCTAGGGGCACTCGGGCAGCTGATTTTACCCACAGTAACTATGTGTTGTAGATACAATTTGGCTGTCTCGGGAGGGAAATATTGATATATAAAAGATGAGCATCACGTGACCCACAAATCGAATAGCACAAACAAATGTCACGTGACACGCTTCGTACTCCGATGTGCCGCTCTGCGACGAAAACATGCTTAAGCAACTGGTCTCCAAATGGTTCACACTCGGTAAATATTCATACAATATTTTTTTTTTATAGCATATTTTATATGGATTATTCCAAAAAATTATACGTGTTTTGAAAAAGTTCGAGTCACATTAGTCTAAAATCAATTCATTTTATAGAATACTACTACTGGGTAAAATCTTTCAAACAGCCTTACCACGTTAGAACGGGCACGTGCAGTTTACAAATATCTGGTCAGCTGCACGTGCAGTTTACAGATACCCTGTCAGCTGCACATGCAGTTTACAGATACCTCATCAGCTGCACGTGCAGTTTACAGATACCTCGTCAGCTGCACGTGCAGTTTACAGTGATTCCATAAGCTGCACATGCTATTTATAAGGTGGCCGAGATTACTGTAAGGTTATAAAAAGTCAGTGGAACTCTAGATATACGTTATAACGAAATGGCTAGCGCCAGTAGTTCAACAAAAAAAAACTTCATCGTCGGTGGAAAGTATAAATCCAAATGTAAGTTAGGAAGTGGTTCATTCGGAGAAGTTTATTTTGGCATCGACATCACAGATGAAAAACAGGTAGCTATAAAATTGGAGTCAAGAGTGGTAAAGAAATCACGACTACTCTACGAAGGTAAAGTATATGAAATTCTTCAAGGTGGTATCGGTATACCTGATATACTATGGTATGGAGAAGAAAGAAATTATAATGCTTTAGTCATGGATCTTCTTGGACTAAGTTTAGAAAAACTTTTTACATTACGTTCACGACGTTTTACTATGAAAACTGTCTTAATGCTAGCTGATCAGATGATTGAACGAATTGAATATGTTCACAATAAGAATTTCATTCATCGAGATATTAAACCAGATAATTTTGTTATTGGAATTGGAAAACATCTCAATAAGCTTTATCTCATAGATTTTGGTTTAGCAAAACAATATATTCGCAAAGGACAACATATACCTTATCGTGAAGATAGAAATTTGACTGGTAGTATCAGTTATGTTAGCATTAATACTCACTTGGGTATTGAACAAAGTCGTAGGGACGATATGGAGTCGATAGGATATATGTTAATGTATTTTAATCGTGGAAGGCTGCCGTGGCAAGGTTTGAAAGCAGCAACCAAAAAACAAAAATATGAAAAAATAAGTGAAAGAAAAATGTCGATATCAGCAGAAGTTCTTTGTAATGGATTTCCGACCGAATTTGCAGCGTACTTGAATTACTGTCGAAATCTCCGCTTTGATGAAACACCAAATTATACGTACCTGAGGCAATTATTTAGCAATTTATTTCGCATACTTAATTACGAATACGACTGCATATTCGATTGGAATCAGCCTAAGCAAAAACAGAAGACCGACCAGCCGGAAGTAGCAAATTGATGTTTTTTTGGTGACTCATACTGATGGGTTCTGTTTTATTTATATGTAAAAACTCTGTGACTGGTAATGCATTTTCAATTTTCTTTAATGTTTTGATAGCAGATACAATGTTATTTCTATATCTTATTTGTACCGTTTAATGTGTTAATCGTTTATATATACCTTTTAAACTGTAAGTGTTCAAATTAAACTACCAACATCTAATAACTTTTAACTTTTGTACTGTTTAATAATTACATCGGAATATGAATTTNTTTTCGGTTATTCGACTTTTCAATTATCCGACCAACCCCAGTACCCAATTGAGTCGGATAATCGCGGCTCTACTGTATATTATTATACAATTTTTTACATTTACTTGATTATCACACTATAATTTTAACATTGTTTTCATCTCACCGATAAAACCGTGTCGTTTACGAATGACGCTTGAATTGAAAGATTGAGCATTTTTCACAGCTTCGACAATTTTTTCTTTACCATTTATAATTGTTCTGACCGTCGGTTCCGGTAGATCAAACTTTGCCAATTCACAAAGTTTCATTTTTATATCGAAGTTAATAATGTTAACTTTACATTCCAAAGATAAAGTTTTCTTTTTTTTTGTTTAATGCAGAAGAATCAGTTCTACTTCGCATGGATGACATAGTAGAGTCTCTCGAGTCTCCGTAGATATAACAAACACAGAAATAAATAACACAAAATAAATTGTAGCTATGCGTCGATTCCGCGCGACACGTCCGAACATGTAAGCTGAACAATAGTGCGGGTAAGTGAGTAATCAAAAATTGCATGGCGCTCAAACAAAACACGAATCGACGAGATTTGAAAATCGCGTAAGTCGGGGTAGCGTAAGTCGAGGTATTACTGTATTCGACGTAAAACCTGGTTTATGCATATTTATTTATTGATCTCAAATATACGTAGTATCGATATATAGTATTTATATCACACGTTCTTGGCCTAACACTAAGTTTTTAAAATTTACAACTAAAGGTTTTTTCCCGAAAAAAAAATCAACGAAGAAATGTATCGTACTCATTACAATGAAGGCCGAGTGGGCTCCAGAGTCGCAATTAATATTTTCTTGTTTATTCCAGGAAATCGAATTTCGAACCTGAATCAGAAGTCAGTGCGTCAGTCACTTCTTCGCAATTAAATATTTATTTATAAATAAATAATAATCAAAACTCTCAGCGTATACAGATTCTGCAAAGGACATTTGACCCNATTAATTGGTACAACACACAAGGCAAGCATAACCCTTCTTTTAATACAACCATTTCGAGATAATGTCTTTCAGATGTCCATTCCAAGCAATCATAAATAAGATGGTCCAAAGTTTCCATCTCCTCTTCACATACACATTCATTTTGTTCATCCAAATGAAACCTGCTCCCATATTCTCCAAGGCCATCGTATCCCAAAAGACAAATTATAAGTTCACTCTCTCTCCCAAACTACTTAAGATGGGAGAGTATTTCATAAATATTTGGGAATAAGTCGAAGGTTTTCCTCCCTTTTATACTATTTCCCCAAATCTGTTTCCATTTTTCTATAATTTTACTTTTTAATGCCTCCTTTCCCCAGGACTGTGTAATTGTGTTAAACACTATTTCATTACCAGTGGCTGCTTCTTTGGCCAGAAAATCGGCCCGTTCATTCCCATATATACCGACATGTGCTCTGACCCATTTAAGATAAAACTTCTCTATTAGACCATGTTCTCTGAGTTTTGTCTGAATACTAAAGACCTGCTGATGTTTACATTTACGGTTAGTAAGGGCTTGAAGAGCACTGCGACTATCTGTATTAATACAGACACCTTCTTTCCGTTCATATTTTATACACCATTCAACAGCTTTGTCTATGGCCAATAACTCAGCTTGAAAATTAGAGCAATATGCTTCAAATGTAACTTTGTCACGATGAATTTCTTCATTATGCTCATAAACTACGAAAGCGGCCCCAGTGCCTGAATCAGACCTATAGCCGTCCGTATATATATATCAGTCTTAATTAGATCATTAGCCAGCAGCCTTACCCCTACAATTTCAGTTGGGTGAGGCAGTTCCTTTACTAAGATATCTCGTTCATAATTNTTAGACATTGATTATACATCGTGAGGAGTACCGCTGGACAGACCTCCCACATTTTCCTTACTATTTGAATCACAATGCCATCATCTCCTGGGGCCTTATTTATAATTTCACTAGCTCTTAATTGTGTGTATTGACATTAATGTTAAAATTATTGCAAAATTTTTAAATTAAGCTAAATTACGTGATATAAAAGACTTGTTTAAACATCAATAGGTAACTTTTATCTGTTTTGTATTTTAATAAAGCTTTTTTTCGTACATTTAATATAATAATAAAATAATCAAAAACAACAAATGTAAATTGCAAATTAAGTTTATTTTTTACGTTCTCTATTAGACAATACAGTATTTTTAACCTTAAAGAAACTTGTATTCAATTTATATATAATACAGTAATACCCCGAACTTACGCGATAGGTGGGACCGAGCGATAACTGCGTAATTCGGGGTATAATTTCACAATTTGTGTAAAATCCAAGTCGGATGTATGTAAGCTAATAAATGTTCTCGTTAATCTTATCTCGTCTTTTGAATCGTTCAAGGTTGCAAGAAATCACCACATAGAGTCTCTCGAGTCTCCATAGATATAACAAACACAGAAATAAATAACACAAAATAAATTGTAGCTATGCGTCGATTCCGCGCGACACGTCCGAACATGTAAGCCGAACAATATTGTGGGGGAGTGAGTAATCGAGAGTTGCGTGGCGCTCAAACAGAAGACGAATCGACGAGATTTGAAAATCGCGTAACTCCGGGTTCGCGTAAGTCGGGGTAGCGTAAGTCGAGGTTTTACTGTACTGGCTGTTACCCGCGGTTTCGCTCGCGCGGATTTTGCAAGCAAACCCTATTTACATTCAATATTTCAACAACCATAGTAATTGTTATATAACACCTACAGCTGAGAATCAAACGAACTGCTTTTAATTTGATGAATTTTCTGGAACGTTTACAATCGTTCTATAATCGAACCAATAAGCAGAAAAAAATTCGAATTTAAAACAGTTGGAACATTTGGTTAAAAAATCGAAATACAGTAGACCCCCTAAAACGCTTAGATACGTTCCACTTTATAAGAATTTTACGTTGTAGGAATCCTTAAATACATGAGCCAATCAAAGCCTGACACGTGTGAAGTGTACGGACTAACGCTGTTTGAAAGGTTTTCTTACATAAAATTAACCGAATCTAGACTAATTCGACTCAACATTTCCAAAACACGTATAATTTTTTGGGAATAATCCGTATAAACTATGCTATAAACAAAAAATTGTAGGATTAATTACTGAGTGTGCACCGTTTGTCGTCGCCATTGCTTACGCTTGTTTTTTTCCCGGAGCAGCGCACCAAAGGCGGCCGCGATTTCTGATAAGTTATTTTTATGTGAAAACTTCGTTGAAATTTGGAGACATCATTAATATAAATAATATTTATGGCCGTTAAATAAGAAATGTTTCTTTCGCAAGAAATGTATAAAATTACAGTACTGTATTAGACTTACGGTACCTAATTTACATACTGTACAGACGATAGTGAACTCAACTTACTCGCCTAAACTCTCCGTAGTGTAGCGCTAGACGGCGGAAAGTATATATATAATTATAATAAAGTTACAATAAATTAAGTTAATATATAATTATATATACAGTACCTAATTTATATATAATTTATATATAATACTGTGCAGACGATAACAAACTCAATTTACCTGCCTAAACTCTTTGTAGCGTGGCGCTGAACGACAGAAAGTAGTTCGGCTGCTCATCCACTATTGGTCCAGATTCGACCAATCTTGTCGCGACACGAGTCGGCGACTACGTTTTACGAGTCCCTTTATACGAATACTGTCGCAATTTTTTCGCTACGTTATAGGAATTTTCGTTATAGGAACTTACGTTATATGGGGGTCTACTGTATATAAAAAATGTTTATAAAAATGTCTGAAATGTTATCAATTTAATATCCCTAAGTAGTCAATGAAGTCTAAACGTAATTAAAAACAAAAACATCGCATCAAAAATAGTACAGTAGAAACCGTTCTTCCGGTTAAGCCTTAATGCTCTCCTCCCGCGGAGGGATCTCGAAAAATCTTTTGTTAGTGTGCGTTCTCGTGACTTACTCTCCCTAACTGTGTACCAAATTTCAAGATTCAAGTCTTAACCGTGCTGAAATGCTTGTATACCCGCGCGCCATTTATCGTAGGATCAGTGGCATAGCGTAGTGGGGGCGGCAGGGGCGGCAAAATTACGTTTTAGGGGGCGGCAAAATTTCACAATAAATAATAATAATATCTTGTGAGAATTTGAACTATTTTATTTCATATTTTCGTCCACCTACGATTCGGACCGATTCAAATAAGCACGGAATAGTGTTACCATCCATCCGGACAGTCCGGGAATTCGTGCACGATCTGTCGACTTTTTTTTTGTTGCTTGTACGATTTATTCGTATATACTGTATATATATACACCTTAAATATCCAATAGAGCTAGGTCATCTCGGTCACTTACGTTACTCCTACTCAAGTCTCCCTAGTCGCTAACTGTAACTGATTTAGAACCGGCATGCACTGCACATTATTCTTCGCATCGCAAAATGAGATACGCATGCGTCAGGAACTTCTGTTCGAACAAACCTCACCTGCCGTCCGGGTCAGCGATTTTCGACAGGTGGACTACACTAGCACGGAATTTTTCATTACTTATTCTGTGACGAAACTGAATTTTAGTATTTTCAATTCAGATACCTAAATAATGTGGGGCGAAATTTTCTTCCGCCCCGGGTGGCTGACACTCACGCTACGCCACTGCGTAGGATAAATGTACTGTGCCAGAAACCTTCGCGGGAGTGTATTAAACAAGTTCCTAAAGTTTCATGGCAATCGGTAAAATGGTTTAGT